CTAAAATCATTCATTGTTGTTGTATTTGTTGTTTTCGGAACCGGCACTATAATAGAGGATTTAAAAATATGTGGAACAGTTTCTTGGAGGAGAGAGGTATTAAAAATGTCAGTGTACACCCCCGCCAGCTGGTCAGCACAAACTTTAAGGACTCTCGGAGCCACCCCATCAGGTCCTACAGCCTTACGGGGGTTCACCTTCCTCAGAGCTTTAAGGACCGGTGAGTGCGTCACCTGCAGTGCAGTTTCCTCTGATTTGTGGGTGATTTTTGAGGGTATATCTCTGTTATTTTGGTCAAATCTGGCATAGAACTTATTAAGGTTGTCCGGTAGAAAGGAGTCTTGAATAACAGTTCTGTTGTTTGCATTCTTTCTGTAGTTGTTGACAGTCTGGATTCCTTGCCACATCCTTCTGGTGTTATTTTCCCTATAACAGTTCTCAAGTCTCTGGGTGTATGCCCTCTTTGCGGCCCTGATGGATTTTCGGAGTTCATATCTAGCTTGCTTATACTCCATGTTGTCACCTGATTTGAAGGCTGTACTCCGGTTTCTAATTTTAATATGCACATCCGCATTAAGGGCTTCTGATTAGGGAGAACTCTAATAGTCCTGGAGGGGATGCAGATGGAAGTGCACCAGTCAATATAACTGCTAACAGTATCTGTATATTCATGAATGTTATCTGTGGCTTCCTTAAAAATTTTCATATCTGTGGCCTCCAAACAGCCCTGCAGTTCCATCAAAGCATTATCAGTCCACATATTCACAGTTCTAACAGTGTCTGGATCTGCTTTGAGCCTCCTGATGTAAATGGGCTGAAGCAGGATAGCAAGGTGATCACATTTTCCAAAATGTGGCTTGGAGACAGCAGTATAGGCTCTTTTGATATTGCTATAGCATTTATCCAAAGTGCTATTTCCCCTAGTGGGGAAGTTAACAAACTGATAAAATCTGGGAATAGTTTTTCTAAGATCACAATGATTAAAATCTCCTAATATCACCATAGCAGCATCTGGATACGAATTTTCGTGCCTACTGATCATATTGTGCAGTTCTTTAAGTGCATTTTGCTCGTTAGCCGCAGGAGAAATATACACTGTGCTTAATATAACACACTGTAGCTCTCTAGGCAGGTAAAATAGCCTACATTTCACAGTAATTTACTCCACATTTTCAGAACAGGACTGTGATATTACCGTATTATCCGTGCTCCAGGATTGTTTGACGAGGATAACCGTTCCTCCCCCGCGAGTTTTACCGCTTTCCATTGCGCTGCGGTCGGCTCTGTAAACAGTATAGCCTGCCGGTGTTATGGCTTCATCGGGGGTCCTCTGTCCGAGCCACGTTTCACAGAAACATAGAACGGAACAATCCTGAAAGTACCTCTGTGTAGCCATCCAACTAAGAAGATCGTCCATCTTGTTAGGGACTGGACATTAGCGAAGAGTATGATCGGAAGAGTTAGCCGGCCTTTGCTAACCAATCGGCGAAGTCGTCACTTCATCACTTCAGCATGGAGATGTAACTCCGGGAAGGAGTTGAGAACATTTGTTTCAAAGTAACCTCTGTGGCTCAATTCTCCTAATTGTAACAAAGTCACTCGATCATACTTCACATGAGCTCTAACATACCTCACATGAAAAGATAGTAGCGACGCCATTTGCACATGACCAGCACATGCCTATTACAGATAGAAGAAGCACATGCCATATACAGATAGAAGAAGCATATCTCCATCGATGATGCATCTTACATTCAGAGGCACGTCATGACCTTCCAGGTCACAGATTTGGGTTGCTGGCGCCAGTGTGTCCAGAACAACAACTCATTCAATCTCCACTAATGGCAGTTGTTCCTTAACCTGCAACCAAGAAGACTAACACTAAACTTTAGTCTAACTGGAGTTAGACTTTAACAAAGAAATGGTGCCTTAAACTATTGGCTTCAATGACCCCTTTATGCTTTAACACTCAAACACAAACCAAATCCCTATTTCCCTATTATTTTCACTGTTACTGCGTTCACATAGGACACTAGCAAATAAGAGCTCCCATCAAGGCTAAAGAGAGTCTGAGCGGCTTATTATCAGTTAAGTGTACCAAAACATAATGGTAAAACATTCACTCGTTTGGGGAGAAAATCAGATAACATTTTCTCCCAAGAAAAGAAATATAATAGAAAGAATACATTTTAATACAACAATTAAAGTTCAATATAGCAATGCTCAATATAGCTTGACCATCTGTAAAGAGAAGGATCATATGTGCTGGACATGTGTTCACGACGCCTTTAGGATCCATAAACCTTTCTCCTGACACCAGAGAAAGAGACAAATGGCCTTGTGCACCTAAAAGAAGCTGGTTACTTACATCTGCATGCATTTAAGTATATGATTTCGCAAGCAAAAGCACAAAGAATAAATATATATGTCATATATATGTCAATAAATGATTAAGTAACAATGAATATACTTAATTATTGATTTTATAAAAGAAATACATAAGCATTCAACAGGATATGATATATATATGCTGAAGAGGCAAGGGATTTTGACCACCCCTTCACTGCATTATTCGCATCTCCACCAGAGCAGCTGCAGACTCTGCAGCTTGACTGTTTCTCATGCTCATATGATGTTTTTCCAAAATCAGACTTGTGATGCAAACTGCAATCATAACCACACCAAGTTGCATTATTTGGCCAGAGGACTGGTCATCCTACTGAGCTTGGTTTCTCCCAAGGATTCTTTTTCATTTCTGTCACAGATGGAGTTTGGGTTCCCTGCCACTGTAGTCTCTGGCTTGCTTAGTTGGGGACACATAGTATTCAGCAATATTACTTATTTAACTGTACTGACTCTATTGGATGAGAACTGAGCAGGATAATGACATCACTGCTTTTCTACAGAGCTGCTTTATAGCTTAATTCAGCTCATTTCATATTAAAAACACAGTTACTAAACTGAACTGAATGAACACCGAACTGACCTCAAAATTAAATTCTGTCTCTCTCTCTCTGTCCTAGTGTGTATCCCATATTTATATAGGGTCCGCTTGCTTGCATGCTTTTTGCCACTTGGCTCGATCCAGGGCATCTTCAGTGGTGATATTTACTCTGCACATATCCTCCGCCAGATAATCCACCGCTTCTTCAGCCAGCCACGCGGTTGTCGTCCGGGTGGTGATAGATTATAGGCCCTTTTCACCGTTGTGTCATCGTCACTTCTGATGGCATGGCCATACCATCGGAGTCGGGGTTCACGCATCTTTTGGACTATGGGCACCACGCCCACGCGGCTTTTGACATCTTCATTCATGACACGGTCGAATCGCGTGAGGCCGAGGGACCAACGGAGCATCTTCATCTCCATAACATGGAGGGACTGCTAATGTTTGATGGTGGCTGGGCAACACTCAGAACCGTACAACGCGACCGAGCGTACAATGGTTTTATAAATCTTGCCCTTGAGTGATGTGGGCACATTAATTAATTAAATTCTGTCTGCATTATTGAATTATTATTTTTCTGTTTATCCCTGTAAAAGCTTTGAAGATAGATTTTAGCAACAAACTCCTAGAACCAGGCAGATCAAAACCAAGCCGAATGGAGAGCCGATCCATACAAAGTAAAGGCTCAAGACCATGCCAGCAACCTCCAGCGGCTAAAGGAATGTTAGCTATGCCAGCTAATATATGTTTATATAATCTATTGTGAATTGCATTATAGCTCACAACAGAAGGGTCAGGTCTAACTGTAATGAAGCGCTCCAACACTGGCGAATCCAAGAAACATAATAGTCTTTAAATTTAAATTCGAAAACTCGGAAATACTCTGAAAAATTACAGGAGTAAGCAAAATAACACAACCACTTTAAACACGACACATTACAAGGAACAGAGGAAACTAATGGTATAAATAGGAGATTAACTTAACAACAGGTGAACGTAATCCAATCAGAAACCACAGAATCTAACTAGCAAACAGAACTCAGGAAAAGCAGCACAAGGAAAAGAAAAATAAACCAAAACAAAAGTTGCATGTAGGCTGCATGTAATAGTGTTACCAAAAATTTCTCATCATTTACTCACCCTCACACCATCCCCGATTCATTTGACTTTCTTTCTTCAGATAAACACAAACAAAAACATTTTTGAAAAAAAGAAAAATCAGTCAGTGAGTCCATATAATCCTATTGAATGCCTGGAGAACATTTTTATGAGTACTGCAAGAAAGAAAGTCTACCCCCTTCTGCTCACTCTGTAATTCAAATACTGTGGGTACCTATATGCACATGTTTTATGAGTGTCAACATATTGGTAACTTTCGGGATGTGGTATTTCAAGTTGTGACAGAACAGTGATAAGGTTATCCTTAAGCAGTGTCCCAGTGTCTGTTTGTTGAATGATGATGCGGATCTTGATCTGACTGTTAGCCAGCGTAGGATTCTTCACACTGCTCTAACTGCGGCCAAAAAGATAATCTTCTAGATTTGGCATGAGCCTAAAACTCAAGCAGGCAAATAGTGGCTCATAGAAATTAAATACACATTGCGCTGTTAGAACTACAGCGAGAATTAACAAAGCCAAACCAAAAAAAATGTAAGGCCTGGACTGACTTTGTTACAAAACATATATACATCTCATATAATAACTCAATAGGCCACCCTTACTGATTGCCTCTGAAAGTTATAAAGGAGGAGCAGTGGAAATCCGGGATCTGTGCTGGTGTTGTTAATCCATCCCCTTATTTATTTATTTATTATATTTTTTTCTTCTTTATTTTACAAGCAAACCCTGGTCTTGTATATAGTTATTTGTGGTCACACATGTGGACCATGTTCAACCTTGCAATAAATAAATAAATAATCACAAAAAAAATAAATAAAAAGAGAAAGAAAGTAAGTCATGGCAGTTTAGAATGATTTAATTTTCCTTAAAGAGTGATGTCTCCTTTTTCTTAGGAGAATCATTTAATTTTCCATCATTTTTTAACCTGTCGTAGGTGTGGAGTTTCCTCCATGTACAGTAGAAGTTTTCAGAGTCCAGGAGAGAATTGACTACCCCAGGGACACCAACGGCAACATCACAGCTATGGTGCATCCTCATCTACAGGTATTCTAAATGGACCATCTAGTAAATGCATACAGAGGCATGTTTTTTATTAAAGGAAAATGCATGCCCTTGAGCGATGTATAAAAGAGTTGCTCTTTATGACAGGGACAGAGGGAGGGGAAACGAGTGTAAGAAAATGTGTCCTATGACTCAGATGTTTTCTGTGCTTGTTGACTTCCAGGCTTCACTTGTTTTCCACAGTAATTGTCCTGTTCCTTTTTTTTTTTCTTTCTGTGTAGGACTGTGATTGGGAGCCTTTGAACCAGGGTGACCCTATGTTCCTAACTTTCGATGGGAGAACAATCCTTTATGAGGGTGCCAGCACAGTATACCCCACTTTTATTAATGAGGCTGCCTATTATGAGAAACAGCAGGCATTCATGACCACTTGTAGAGAAATACTGGCTGCCAATGCAATCAGAAAAGCTCTCAAGTAATGTTTTCTCCTAAAAATGCACTATACTTAATGCAAAAGTACTTAAAACAACATTTCTTATTTTATGAATACGGTTTTATAACATTTTAAAATTTGACTTGTTACACCACATAACTATTTAATTAAACAGTAAAAAAGCCACAAAAAAGACACTGACCAGATACAATTTCTAAATTAAAGCTGCAAGCAGCGATGGGCGGGCCCTCGCACCTGTAGCACGTCGGGGTCTGAGGCGGCCGCGTTGCATTTTCTGCAGCTCAGCCAGTGCGGCTGTCCATTTGCTATGCTGCTTCGTTAAAGGTCACTTCCTGTTGCCAACAGGTGGCGCTATGACTGTGGGTGAATGTCGGAATGTAGATTTGTTCAGGGTGGGACTCTTGTCAAAGGTGTAAAATTTCATGCATATCTGGGCTTTTACAGCGAAGTTACTACAACTTCCTGTTTCATGGCGAATCATCGACGCCACGGACACGCCCATCGACGAAAACGCACAGATAGCACAACTTTTCATCGTTAATGCCTTTAGAAGGCACAGCAGAAATGTGAAGTCGGTCCGACTAAATCCCTAGGAGGAGTTCGTTAAAGTACGTAATGAGTAAATCATCCAAAAATGTTGGTAAAAATAGAAATGGCCGACTTCCTGTTGAGTTTAGGGCATCACTCCAAGAGACTTTTCTGTGCGTTTGGACATGGTAGATGTACCACAGAAATTTCGTACATGTCGGTCAAAGGTGCGGCGGGAGCTGCTTCGTTAAAGGTCACTTCCTGTTGCCACTAGGTGGCGCTATGACTGTGGGTGAATATCGGCATGTAGATTTGTTCAGGGCGGGACTCTTTTCAAATGTGTTAAATTTCGTGCAGATCTGGGCATTTACAGCCAAGTTACTACAACTTCCTGTTCCATGGCGGAATCATCGACGCCACGGACACGCCCATCGACGAAAACGCGCAGATAGCACAACTTTACATCGTCAATGCCTGTAGAAGGCACAGCAGAAATTTGAAGTTGATCCGACTAAATCCCTAGGAGGAGTTAGTTAAAGTACGGAGTGTGTTAATCGTCCCAAAATGGCTGCCAAATTCAAAATGGCGGACTTCCTGTCGAGTTTAGGGTATGGGTTCTTGAGGCTTTTTTGTGCGTCCTGATATGATACACGTCCCCACCAAATTTCGTGCATGTAGGTTGAACGTGGACGAGGGGCTAATTTTTTCCAATTTTCTAGGTGGCCCTAGCGAGCCATTTTCCCCCGCCCATCCGCGAAACCCACAAAATACGAAATTTTTCACCAGTCCTGACATGCATGCCAAATTTGGTGAGTTTTTGAGCATGTTGTGGCCACGAAAATGGCGCTTACTTTGCAGAAAAAAGAAGAAAAAAAAAACTTGCACTGTTAGTGCTCGGGCCCTAAATAGATACTTTTATTTATATACAAATTGATAAATATATGTGTGACACTGGTGGTGCAGTTGAGGCAAGGATAAGGCTGGATCCAAGTGCAGCACACGCTATATTTAATATACAAACTCAAACAGACTAGATACAAGACTCTAACTCAGAAACAGGATACATGAACAACCGACATCAACCATATGACATTAAGGGCCAATCCCAATTCTACCCCTTACCCCTTCACTTTCCCCTAGCCCTACCCCTTCGCCTTCCCCTTGACCCTTGAAACAGAGTGGCAATGCGTAGGGGTGAAAATATTCCCCTAAGAAATGGGACACCACTTCGCCTCCGTTAAACGTCATTATAAGTCGTCGCTAGCGCCTACGTCACAGGAGATGCGCTGATGTTTATCACAACTTCCAAGATGCCGTCGACAGCTGCAGTTATCTCAGTCGCGTGGGTTACAGCTATTTTCTTGCATTTATCTTGTGAAGTTCGCAGGAAACAACGGAGACGACGAAAATATGTTGCCGGACTATCGTTAGCAAACTACAGTAATTTTAGCGATTTTTTTTTTTTTACAAACGTTTCTGTGAAGAAACTGACCGTAAATATGAACACAATATTGAATGTAACATAAAGCAAATCATTATTTGTCGTTACAATACTTATTAAAGCCACAAATACTTAAATTTATCGGTCTCCTTTGTCGCTTGGGCAGCCAGCCTGGGTTAGCAGTGACACTTCTCATACCCCTTCGTTTGAAGTGTGCTCCCGAAAAATCTTCGTTTGAAGGGCTATCTGGCCCTTCCCCCTAGCCCTCCCCCTCCAACCAAAAGAGAATTGGGACAGCCCTACCCCTTCACGTGGACGCGCAAAACGGAGGGGAAGGGGAAAGTGAAGGGGTAAGGGGTAGAATTGGGATTGGCCCTAAACAAGAACTCACAAAGACAAGGCAGAAACACAGGGCTTAAATAATAGGGACAAACAAGCTAGGCAAGGTAACAAGGGGGCGTGACAAATAAGAAACACCTGGGATAATTACTAGACAGGGAACCACTGATAATGAATTGACAAGACACAAAACCACATCATGACAATATATGTAATTAACAAGTTAATTGAAGTTCGGGAGCAGGACCACGCCTCAACTAATCAGCTCTCTCCCCATCAGTATTTATACAGGAACCCACCTTCACCATCCCGTTCGTCTCAGTCTTTCGAAATGGACTCCGAGCTGCAGATCAACCCCTCTGACTCCGAAGACGAATTATTCAGAAACTCCCCTCCGTCACAGAGCGTCAGGTCTTCACAACAATCCATAGGCAGCCAAAATTCTCACCGGCTGCGTTCCGTTGTTGAAATCCCTCAGTCCCGCGGGCATTCACGTCACAGTTCATCATCGAAGATTTCTCCAACCCCGACTCGTCAGAATCGCTCTTCTCTGCAAACGAGAACCGCCATAAACGATCGACACAGGCACGAAAGCCGTCACGATCGCTCTCCCCGTCAACCGCGCCACCATCCAACAGATCGTAGCAATTCTCAGCGCACTCATGCCACGTCTCCCAGACCAGAGAGTACCATCAAGAATTGGACCGTGGCTCGTCTGCAGCGAGCTCTCAAGGACAAAGGTATCCTATTCAGCCGATCGGACAATAAAGCAAGACTATTTCAGCTTTACACAGCATCTGCACACACTTCAGATTTAAATTCCGAGCCTCCAACACTTCCGGCATCGACACGCGATCCTCTCATCGTCACTCATGACGTCACCACACTGCCTCCACAACGACCTCAGCCAGCGGTATCCGCGCCACCTAGTGGAGACCAAGTAATATTACCTTCAACTTCTGCACCTTCTACCTCAGACATATCCCAATTCATGACATCTTTCTTTGCTTACTTAAGCTCACAAACAGCTACAAATCCTCATGGACATTCATCCCTCCATCCCAGCATCCATCCTTCTACCCTTCCTTCTGGCATCAACAGCCACACGGCTCCTGTTATTTCTGATTCTTCCCTACAAATTAACCCAATCCAAGTCCCTCATGCAGCAAACCCAGGACTTCTACCTCTCAGCGGACCTTTTCAACCCCCTCCTATTTCTTCCTTTTACGCAACTAATCTACCCCTTTTCCCCTCCCTTTCCCAACACCCTCACATCCTGCCAATAAATACTAGCCCATATACCCTGGCCACAGCCGCACCGCCTCCTCATCCAGCTTCATCAATCCATCGACCCTCCCCAGCCTCTTCAGCCTCACGTCTTCAGATCTTATCAGGTAACTACACAGATCTAGCCCAACTCCTACATCCATCCCTCATAAATATCAACCAGCCCAGAGAGCTGCAAACCAGCCAAGACCTAATGCAATTCAGCCATCCTTTAAACTCTCGTTCAAAGGATCTCACTCCCACCGAATTTGCTTTAGCTTTCTCGATCTACAGAGATATATTGTGCTCGGTTTATCACGATCGAAGAACCGAGCTAGACGATTATCTCTCAATCATTTTAGACATGGCCGTGCGTTTTGGAGGAACAGGCTTCTACAACTACCACGTTCTTTTCGCCACACAAGCAGCAGGTCGGTTACAACAGTTCAATCAGGGGACATATTGGGGCACTCTTGATGCAGAACTCTACTGTCGGATCTTCGCAGCACGCACTTCTATGTCCTGCGAACTATGTGGAGCACCATCACATCCAGCCTCAGCGTGCACCATCACACCCTCTCAATCTCAACCCTCCTCACGCAAAACATCCGTATTGACTATCCACAGCAGCCCCACCTCCTCCTCTAATTCCGAAACCTCTAAACATGCAGCCCACAGCCAACGTTCCACTTCCCAAAGGCATTGACAAAAGAGGACGACCGATCCTCTACCAAGGAGGCAGAATGGTATGCAACAACTTTTTAAACATCTTGGCTGCTCTCTTTCCAACTGCAGATTCCTACACACCTGCTCCTTCTGCGGAGGTGCCCACTCAAGAGCCTCTTGCCCCCACAACCCAACTGCTCTACCTGACTGACTACTTCAGTATCTCAGCACACCAATCAAGGTAGAAGCATTAGCCACTGCCTTAATAGACCACCCCGACAGAAAGTTTGTAGAATTCCTTATCAATGGATTCACAAACGGCTTTTTTCCAGGCATAGAAATAATCCCAGAAACTTCTCATCTCTCTCATAACCTCCAGTCTGCCCTCTCCGAACCAGACACCCTAATAGCTAAAGAAGTCAAAGAGGGATTTATGATAGGCCCGTTTAAAGAACCTCCTTTCACTCTTTTTCGCATCAGCCCCATTGGAATCGCCACCAGGAAATACTCCGGAAAAAAGAGATTAATCATCGACCTGTCCTCCCCACACGGCACACATATTCCCAGCATCAATAGCATCATTCCAGCCCCAGACTTCTCCATGAAATACGCATCCATTGACCAAGCCATCACTCTCATCCGCAAGGCAGGCCATGGAGCATGCCCATCCACCCAGAATTCTGGCGTTTCTTCGGAATATTCTGGAAAGGAGCTTATTATTTTTCAGTGCGCCTTACTTTCGGCTGCAGAAGCAGCCCCAAGATATTCGACTCCCTCTCAGAGGCCTTATGTTGGATTCTCATCAACAACCACAGGCTTCCCTACGTCCTGCACCTCCTCGACGACTTCCTCATCATCACACCTACATCCGCACCTCCACACTCAGGACTTTCCACCCTCGTGAAAGTGTTTTCCGATCTAGGCGTACCCCTTTCAAAAGAAAAGACTCTAGGACCCTGCACCTCCATCGAGTTTCTAGGTATCACCCTAGACTCCATCTCCTTCCAAGCATCTCTACCTCCTGAGAAAATGCAACGCATTTCATTGCTCTTATCGAACCATCTTCTAGCAGACAGGTGCACAAAGCAACAGCTGCTATCCCTCCTCGGCCACCTTAATTACGCCATCCGAATAATTCCCCAGGGGAAATCTTTCCTTTCCAACTTACTATCAAAAGCAGCAACAATACCCTCTCTGCATGACAAAGTCACCTTGGATGAAGCTTGCAAAATGGAAATGCGGCTCTGGCGGGAATTCCTATCTTCATGGAACGGCATATCCTTCTTCTATAATGACTACGTTACACGGCCAGAAGACATTCAGCTGTACACAGACGCTGCACCTTCCATAGGATTTGGCGGCTACTACAGCGGCCGCTGGTTCGCTTCCGAGTGGCCACCAGAGTTCAGCCATCTAATTCAGCAGCCAGACTTCCCATCATCCGCACTTTACGAAATGTATCCCGTCATTATAGCAGCCCTTCTTTGGGGACATGAATGGTCCCGACATTCCATACTCATCCACTCAGACAACTCAGCGGTAGTCGAAATCATAAACAAAGGCAGATCCAGTTCCCTGGCGATCATGCAATTAGTCCGAAGACTAACACTTATATCAGCACAACGCCAGTTCATCATCCGAGCAGCGCACGTTCCCGGACACCACAATAGCATAGCCGACTCACTGTCTCGTTTCTCTTTTCAGAAGTTCAGAATCTTAGCTCCAGGGTCAGATATCCATCCCACGCCAGTCCCACCGTTTTCGGCCACCGTCTTCAACTAAATCCACAGCTGGAAGAACTTACACACGCTTCGAGGGAAGCTATACTCAACGGCCTTGCCCAGAGTACCCTCTCTGCTTACTTGACCGGTTGGAATTGTTTTAAGGCTTACCATTCCTTTTACCAAATCCCATTTCCTCTAATGAATGTTTGGTCCATCTGCAACTTCGTTACTCACGCCCATTGCTACCAAAACATCAGGGCATCCTCTATCCAGACTTACCTATCCGGAATCAATTTTATCTATAAACTAGCCACCGGCGACCAATGCCAAACCATCTCGCACTCCCACGTATCCATGCTTCTCAGAGGTCTTCGGAAACAAGAACCAATCCTCAATATCAAGCGCTTACCCTTGACTTCTGACCTCCTGAGTCAATGCCTCCACACCTTACGTTCCGGCTACTTGAGCCCATCGATAGACCAAACATTAGAGTGCATGTTCCTTCTCGCATACTTCGGCTTCCTGAGATGCTCCGAATTCGCCCCTTCGACGTCAGCCTTCAATCCAGCCATTCATCCTAGCCTCTCTGACATCACCGCTCACACGCCTGATTCTCTGATATATAACCTGAAGAGAAGTAAAACTGACCAATTTGGAGAGTCATCTCCAATATACCTTTTCCGCCTGCACTCCTTCCTCAGTCCTTATGAGCCACTTTCGGAATATGTTTCTTCCAGATACGCCAACCTTTCATCTCCTCGAGAACCACTCTTCCTCACGGAAAACAGGAAAATGGCCACGAGATTCTGGTTTAGCAAACACTTCCAAAGTATTCTCAGTATCTCCGGCATATCTCCCGAACATTACTCTACACATTCATTTCGGATCGGAGCTGCCACCACGGCCGCCAGCATGGGCATCTCAGACGAGACAATCAGAATACTAGGTCGATGGTCTTCCGAAGCATACCGCTTGTATATATCCGTAATAATCTCAACGATCTCCGTCAAGCTCAAGCCTGTGTTGTCTCATCCGAACCTTTTGGGGGTCTTCAAGTAATTCCGCCTACTGCCTACCGAGACGAAGCCCCCACTCTGAGTCTCCCGGGTCAGACACCCTGAGCAGCCGGACGGAGAACCGTACTTCTAGAACCATGCTTCCCCCCATCTTCCTTCGACCCTTATTGCATTCATAAAGCTATAGCTAAATCCTGTGCAGTTGCGGTGTGGTCCTTGCTAGTGAAATGTAATTAACAAGTTAATTGAAGTTCGGGAGCAGGACCACGCCTCAACTAATCAGCTCTCTCCCCATCAGTATTTATACAGGAACCCACCTTCACCATCCCGTTCGTCTCAGTCTTTCGAACCCCCCCCCTTTCCCACCTCTAGCTCTCGACCCCACCCACCCTTCCCCTTCCAACTCATCCAGCCATCCCTCCTTCCTCCGACCCTAGCCCCCAATCTCTAACTCGACCCCACCCACCCCTTCCCTTCCAACACATCCATCCATTCATCCCACTTCCCCCGACCCCAATCCTCTCCTTCAATCCCTAACATCTCAATTTTACTTCCACAGGCTGCACCCAGGGGGTCTTCAAGTAATTCCGCCTACTGCCTACCGAGACGAAGCCCCCACTCTGAGTCTCCCGGGTCAGACACCCTGAGCAGCCGGACGGAGAACCGTACTTCTAGAACCATGCTTCCCCCCATCTTCCTTCGACCCTTATTGCATTCATAAAGCTATAGCTAAATCCTGTGCAGTTGCGGTGTGGTCCTTGCTAGTGAAGCATTATATATATTGCCATCAAAAGAATAAATTACATTTTAAAAGTATTTTAGTAAATCAATCAAAAGTGGGGAGAAAATCACATTATGAAATAAATGTTTTTCTCCAATGCATGTTGGCCACAATTATTAGCACCCCTAGAACTTCTCATGAGTAAAATATCTTTGAAGTATAGTCCCATTCATATTAAAATTTTTAGCACACCAGGGTGACTAAAAAATGAAATTGTCCAGCCATGACTTCCTGTTTCACAGGAGTATAAATTTGAGGTGGCACAAATGCCAAATTGCCTTAATCATCCATCACAGTGTGTAAAACCAAAGAATTTAGCTCTGATGTGCAGCAAAAGATTGATGAGTGTCACAAAATAGAAAGTGGCTGTAAGAAAATAGCTAAAGTATTGACAACTCCCATTTTCAACATCAGGGCTATAATTAAAAATTCCAACAGAGGTGGACATGGGTCTATATTGTGTGTCTTTATGCAGGATAGTTAGAGTAAACCAAAGACCCTCCAAGGAGAATCGCTGGAGATCACAGCTGGAGAATGGTTGGGAGAATGGCAGAAGTTATTTGAGTTCCCTTTCATAGTCACTTCGAGTTACGTCAGAAGTGACGGAGAATGGGGGTTTCGCATGAAAGCCAATCCTCTTCGAGTATTTAACAACGAGCCAATGGCCAATGGCATGAAAATGCCTTGTCCCGCTGCGTCATCAGAACAATCAGATTCGGCTACGCGACTCAGTTCGCGAGGTCTCCTCCCCGTTTCAGGGGAGTTCGCTCCACGTTGGTCGATGGCTATGCCCCGGTCATGAGAGCGGAGATTGCGACCCTGCTGGCGAAGGGTGCAATCGAGACGGTCCCTCCAGCCGAGGTGAGGTCCGGGCTTACAGCCCATACTTCACTGTCCCCAAGAAGGCCGGTGGGTTACGACCGATCCTGGATCTGCGCATTTTGAACCGTACTCTCCATCGACTACCGTTCAAAATGCTCACAGCCAAACGCATTTTCGATTGCGTTCGGCCTCAGGATTGGTTTGCAGCGATCGACCTGAAGGACGCGTACTTTCATGTCTCCATATTGCCTCGACACAGATTTTTTTTCTCGGTTTGCCTCGAGGCCAGGCATCAGTACACGGTTCTCCCTTTCGGGTTAGCTCTGTCACCTCACGTCTTCACGAAGATCGTCGAGGCAGCCCTTGTTCCCCTTCGCGAACACGGGGTTCGCATCCTGATTTATCTCGAAGATACTGGCACACTCTCGAGAACAGCTTTGCGAACACAGAGACCTGGTGCTCCGGTACCTAGCCCGTCTGGGCCTTCGGGTCAACCGGGAGAAGAGCAAACTTTGCACCGTGCAGAGGATCTCTTTTCTCGGCATGGAGATAGACTCGGTCGCCATGTCCGCGCAGCTCACGAATGAGCACGCGCACTCACTGCTGACTTGTCCTCGACTGTTCAAGGGCAAGAGTGCGGTTCCACTGAAACTTTCAGAGGCTCCTGGGGCATATGACATCCGCAGCCACGGCAACGCCGCTCGGATTGCTTCATATGAGACCGCTTCAGCTCTGGCTTCGCGATCGAGTCCCGAGGTGGGCATGGCATCGCGGCTCGCTCCGAGTTCCAGTGACTCCAGCGTGCCGCCATACCTTCTCCGTGGTCGAACCTCAGCTTTTACGGGCCGGTGTCCCTCTTCAGCGAGTTTCCAGGCATCTCGTTGTCTCCACGGATGCATCTACCACGGGTTGGGGTGCCATGTGCAATGGGCATGCAGCCGCGGGTTCCTGGACAGGACCCCAGCGCCTCATGCACATCAATTGCCTCGAGCTGCTGGCAGTACGCCTGGCCCTGCACCGCTTTCGAGCACTGATCAGGGGTCAATACGTACTTTTCCGTTCAGACAACACCGCTGCAGTAGCGTACATCATCCACCAGGGTGGTCTACGCTCACGCCGGTTGTCGCAGCTCGCCCGCCACCTCCTGATATGGAGTCAGAAGCACCTGAGGTCCCTTCGTGCAGTGTACATTCCAGGAGACCGGAACCTGGCGGCCGACGAGCGTTCACGGGTCCGCCCTATCTCCTGCGAATGGCGACTCCATCCCCAGACGGTCCAGCTGATTTGGGACCAGTTCGGGGAGGCACAGATACTTCTGTTCGCCTCCCGGGACTCATCCCACTGCGCCCAGTTTTATTCCCTGTCCGAGGGCACTCTCGGCACAGATGCACTGGCGCACAGCTGGCCGCGGGGCCCACGCAAGTATGCGTTTTCCCCAGTGAGCCTTCTTGCACGGGTGTTGTGCAAGATCAAGGAGGACGAGGAGCAGGTCTTGCTGGTAGCCCCCTATTGGCCCACAAAGACGTGGTTCTCCGAACTCATGCTCCTCGCGACAGCACCTCCTTGGCCTATTCCTCTGAGTCTAGATCTACTCACTCAGAGACGGGGCACTCTGTGGCACCCTCGTCCCGATCTTGGAGGCTACACGTGTGGCTCCGGGACGGGACGGGGCAGGTTTGAGTTCGCTGCCACCTGCGGTGGCGGCAACCATCACTTCCGCTAGAGCGTCGTCCACGAGACACCTTTACGCGTTGAAGTGGAACCTCTTCGAGATGTTCGATCGGGGTCGTGCTTTCCTTCCTGCAAGAAGGGTTGGAGCGTAGGCTGTCGCCCTCCACCCTTAGGGTTCATGTCGCGGCCATTGCCGCATCTCATGATGCAGTGAAAGGTAAGTCTATGGGAAGCATGACCTGGTCATCAGGTTCCTGAGGGGAGCGAGGAGGCTAAAACCGCCTCCCTCCCCTCGTTCCCTCTGGGGACCTCTCGGTAGATCTAAGTGCTCTGCAGAGGCCTCCCCTGGAGCCTTTGCAGTCGGTAGAGTTTTTGCCCTGTCCTATGTAGACAGCACTCCTGATTGCATTGGCCTCCATCAGGAGAGTAAGGGACCTGCACGCACTCTCCGTTGATGAAGCGTGCCTGGAGTCCGGGCCGGCTTACTCTCACGTGTTCTTGAGACCCCGGCCTGGATATATGCCCAAGGTTCCTACCACTCCCTTCCGGGACCAGGTGGTGAACCTGCAAGCGCTGCCCCTGGAGGAGGCAGTCTCAGCCTTGCACTGCTCTGTCCAGTACGTGCACTCCGCACCTACGTCGACAGAACGCGGTGTTCAGGACCTCAGACCAGCTCTTCATCTGTCATGGAGGGAGCCAGAAGGGAAGGGCTCTCTCAAAGCAACGGCTGTCTCGCTGGATAGTGGACGCCATTGCTTTGTCTTACCAGCAGCAAGGCCGTCCGTGCCCCCTTGGTGTGACGGCCCATTCCACTCGGAGTGTGGCCTCCTCTTGGGCTCTTGCGCACGGCGCCTCGCTAACAGACAATTGCAGAGCTGCAGGCTGGGCGACACCAAACACCTTCGCGAGATTCTATAATCTGCTAATTGAGCCGGTGTCCTCTCACGTACTCGCTTCCGCCAGTACTGGACCCGCTTAGGTGTCTTCGCTTGCTCGCCATTCCACTCCTCGGTTTGGATAAGTGCCATATTTCCTCAGTGTCTTCCGTTGAAGCCTTGAGTCCTCCAGCACCGACGATGCGGGCACCACCGCTGTTGCTCTGGATGCTGGCTAGGTGCCTCCATGTGCACGGTTCCCTATGGTAACTGTCTCATGTGTATTATCCACTGTAAGCCTCTCTGAGCATGTGTCTTCCCTTGGCAAGCCATCTGCCACCCCTGGAGTTAAATTCTAGTAGCCACCTGCGGTTGGTCCTCCAGTGATCTCCATATGCGTTCCTTGCGGCCATATGTGTATTTGTAAGTCCTCCTTCGGTAGGCATCTGGTAGCATGTCCCTCCTGGGATATGTTTCCCAGTGTACCTTGGTAATCCTGTGTCAAAGTGGGATCCCTGAAAAAAAAAAAGGTAAGGTGCAGGGGTCCAGACTTTCGCAGGGCACTGGAAGACAGCTTGAAGATGGCGTGATGGCACTGACCCCCATTCTCCGTCACTTCTGACGTAACTCGAAGTGACTACGAAAGGGAACGTCTCGGTTACGGATGTAACCCTCGTTCCCTGAGTAGGGAACGGAGACGTTACGTCTCCCTGCCACTTCAGCTGTATCGCTGGGTAGACGCCGGAGTTCAGCCTTGGCTCCTCAGCGAAGACATACTGCGGTTGCGTTCACTTCCTCCTTTTATACCCACTGCGTGGGGCGGAGATACGCTATGCAAATTCCGCAGCCCCAAGGCATTTTCATGCCATTGGCTCGTTGTTAAATACTCGAAGAGGATTGGGTTTCATGCGAAACCCCCATTCTCCGCCACTTCTGACGTAACGTCTCCGTTCCCTACTCAGGGAACCGTTCCCTACTACCGTTCCCTACCGAGACGTTTTGTGGTCAGACAGCCTCAAAAAAGCCCCTACACCATTACTGTCACAGTCTGCGTCTGCACCATCCTGTCTGCGTCTCCTGCACTACACTTCCCATGATCCTCTCGTCTGCACACCTGAACTCACTCCCTCATCAGCCTCCCGTTCAGCGTCCTGTTTCATCTGTTTCACCTGTTTGCACCTCATTATGTTTGATTCTTCCATGTATTTAGTCTTCCATCCCTCTGTTCCATCATTCTGTCATTGTCGGTCGATGTTTGTTGTTAGCCCGTGTGGCGCCTGTGTTCCTGTCAGCCTGCCTGTTTGATATATATTAAAAACTCATCCTTACCGATACCCCGGACTCCTTGTTTCTTCAGCCTGCACCCGCGCCGTGACAATTACAAGTTTTTGGAGGGTTTTAAGAAAGAAAAAAATAATCTGCTCTTATTCAGAAACAAACTCAAGTATATTCAGTATATATCCAGACACTACTGAAACTTCAAATGGGACCAGGCTCTGCGGTCAGATATCTAAACAAGCTTTTTTTGGCAGCAAACCATAGGGTTTGGTGAACTCAGGGGACAGTTAAAAATACTGCTGATGTGGACCTATTTTTCTGTCTGACATCCTGGACATCTTAGTCAGATGTATGTCATCATGTACTGTATTCTATCAAATACTATAAAAAATCTAGACCTGATTGCCTCTGCTGGAAATCTTATAATGGGCTATGACTGGATCTTTCATCGGGACAATGATTCAAAACAAGCAAAAAAATTAACACAAATGGGTTCTAATGGAATTTGAAGGATCTGGAGAGATTCTGTATGGAAAAATGGTCTCTGATCTTCTGCCAGGTGTTCTTCAACTTCATCAGAGATTATAGGAGAAGACTATAGGACAGAGCTGTTAAATTGGCAAATGGAGGTTGCAAAAAGTACAGAAGAAGAGAAAAACAGTTATTTCATAACAAGATAAAGTATATATATATATATATATATATATATATATATGTATATATATATATATATATATACTCAATTAAATCTGCCCAAATATTTTACAGAGCCTCTAAAGCAGGGGTTCTCAACTCCAGTCCTCGCGACCCACTGCTCTGAATATTTGCTGCGTCCCAATTCGCTTACTTATACTACGCCCTAAAAGTATGTACTCTTTTTGTGAGGAAAAAGTACATACTTTTGAGTGTGTAGCAAAAGAGTGGGCAAGATTTGGGTCATACT